ACTACTACTACTACTACTACAGTTGCCACGGTCGTACAAAACAACCGACGGTATCCGAAGCCCTAAGCCCTGGACTATAAATCCAAACTCGAAGATAGAGCTGGGCGCTCCTTAAACACCAAACGACCCTTCAAAGTAGGAACCCTATGCACGAACCTTATGCCCTTCTTGGGGTTCACTTCGTCTTTAAGACTCCGGCCCTAAACCCTAAGCTCCTAAACCCTAAACCCTAAACCCTAAACCCTAAACCCAAACCCTAAACCCTAAGATCCTAAACAATAAGCTCCTACACCCTTAACCCTAAACCCAAACCCTAAACCCTAAACCCACAACCAGGCCCTCCCGCCAGCCGACATCGCTCTGCGCATACTCCGAGAGAGTCGATCGGAAAGCGACCTTCCAAGTGGGAGATAGGGTTTCTGTCAGGGATTAGGGTTTAGGGTTTAGGGTTTAGGGTTTAGGGTCAGGGCTCCTTGAGGGGATCCTTAAAAGGGTCTATAGGGAATCTATTACTTAAAGGTTCCTTCAGGGAGCTGTGAGGGTTTGGATTTAGGGTTTGGGGTTGAGGGCTTAGGGCATAGGGGACGGGGATTTAGAGTTTAGGCCTACGGCTGAGGATTGTGGGATTGAGGCTTAGGGTGTGGAACTTGGGGTTTAGAGGTTGGGGCTCCAGGTTGTTTCGAGCTAAGGTTAGGGCTAAGGGAAGTACTCTCGGCTTATGACGCTGGGTCTCACCTGCATCCTACATCCAACGCCCGACACCCCAGCTGGACTGGCAGGATCCGTGACCCTGTGACTGTGGCGGAAGGCTTTAGTAAGTTACGAGCACGGTACCACAATCCTACCGTTGATGATATATGATATATATATATATATATGTCCTGCATTACCTTAAAGACCGTAATCTATGGGAATTATGGTATATTCCGTATTATGAGTAATGCTGGATTTATGTCATCAACCGTATCCCAAACCAAAGCTCCAAAACCCTAAAGCCCCTTAAGACCTGACAATCCTGAAATCGTGGCTGCCCGGGATCATGACCCGGACCCAAAGTGACGTACTGGTGCCGCTGCGACAGTCAGAAAGCTTTCAGCTTTGGTGTGTAATATCTCTGCAACTGTGGTTCCTGCATCATGTAGCTTGTAACACGTGGGGTATTTCGTGATGTCGGCCACAAACCCTAAACCCTAAACCGTAAACCCTAAACCCTAAACCCTAAACCCTGAACCCTAAACTTTGCGTTCCGAGAAGTCAAGGCCGAAGCCCCGGAGTTGTGTAGCCCCTGACACTGTAAATCCCAAACTCCAGACCACCACCGACAAAACCCTTAAAACCTACAATAGCTTTTTGGAGCGGGGTCTACTATTGTAATATAATGATGGTAGGGCAACGCTCCTAAATATTCCGACCGCTATATTACGGCCCACACCATCAAGCCCGAAGTTATGTCCGGGAATTTCTGCCCGAAACTGCCAGACCAGGGCAGTGGGAGTTGGTGTGCTGCTTTTAGATGGAGACCTGAATCTCGCAGCTCAAGACACTCCCTAAATCCTAAAGGCCCTAATTTAGGGGCCTTACTAATTAAAATAGGGTTTTGGGGGTTCCTTAATTGTGATGATAGAATAATACACCCCAAACCCTATTCTAATTGTTGAGGCCCCCATATTAACCCCTAGACCTGCTAGCCCACGACCCCAATGCATCCTATCTTGCAAGCCTCGAGCTTGTTGCCCTTCGATGCAACTCCTGCGCCAAGCAATTGCATTGAATAAGCCCCAGAAGCAATGCCACAAGATAACATTTATGGGCACTGTAGCCTTATATAACGTAGCCCTACAAGACCTTCATTGTGCTTAAACTTATAGTTAAGGGTGAGTCACCAGGTGTCATCAAGCAGAAGCTATCTTTGGTGCTCTTGGCCTGTTTGCACAGCTCTAAGACTCTAAGACGACGACGCTCACACCGCAAAAGCCCAGACGTCGAACCAACGCCGCATCCGACACCACTACTACAACCTGCAAAATGCTGAAACGCTCCGGTCCACCATCATCATACGTCTAATTGTGAATGAACACGTTGTCGACACAGATTGTCTACCACGCACGGGATTTTGGAAGAAGCATGCTACGTATCACCCGACAACGTCAAAGCCATAAAAAAAAAAAAA